TTTTGGCTAGTTGTAAGCATAGAGTAGGAGGTGAGGAATTAGTTGACCATAGAAAGCTGTGACATTCAGACAGGATGGCCCTCCGCACAGGACTAGCCTTCTGTGGCATGTAGTTAGTGATGTTGCTCAAGTTTGTGATCTAGTATCTGTCACATTATGCTAGAAATCACATATTCAGAAATATCTCTTACTTCCGAGGCAGTGAGGTTCCTGAAGTCAGGAGGAATGGTGCCTTGGGGAGGAGGTGTTTTCAAATCATGATTGACTCTAGTTTCTCGTTAGTCATAATGTGACTGTCACGTGAGTTGTATCTGGGAAGTGGCAACGGTTTTTTTTTTTTTTTTAAATAATGTAAGTAGTGGGCACTAATAAGGTATTTTTGTAAGCATTTTGCATGAAATTCAAGGCACTTAAAGTAGAATGAGGAAAAACTAGTTTAATTTAGTTTTTCTCCCTTTTTACCTTGTTTATGGCCAACATACACAAATCACCACAAGTTATCCTCAGCCACAACAAAATACAGGTCTATTGCTTCTGGAAGATAATTATACTAAATAGAGTTTCTGTTTGACATGCTTGTTTTCACTCCTTGCAGTGAGAACATATTTCATCTAAGGAACAAAGTACAGTGTATCCTGCCATATTTTTGTAGCTTTAAAATGTTTTAATACATTGCTAGAAAAAAACTGCTAGAGTTTTAAATACAAATACCAGGCTTATTTAGATTCATTTAGTATTTATTTATTAGTAGTTGGCAGAAAAGCAAAACTATAAAAATGCAAAGTAAAATGATTTTTTTTTTGTTCTAAAGATTATTTCAGGAGCTCTTTTCTAAATCATTGTGAATAAAATTACACTTGCAGTATGCTTATAATCCTTTCAAGTCCCTAAATCCTTAAAAAGAATGTCGGCCCAAATGCTCAAATAAGAATTTTATTTACAGAAGTAACTTTCCGATTTTCTTGGAATATCATTTTTCTTCTGCTTATAAAACAATACATACTTAAGCCTATTGCAGGAACTTGGTCCTTGACTATGCATTTGTTTAGTATGTGCATTTGCATTTGTTTTGGCTGTGAATAAAGTGCAGGTTTACTTTCAGAACTGAGCTTTAGTTTCAACTGAAATAAGTTGACAAGAGTTTAGTCCTTTTTTTGTGTGTCTGTGCTCAAGGTGCTGGGGATCACACCGGGCCTTGTACATGTTAGGCAAGTGCGCTGCTGGTTAGTTACATCTGCTTCCCAAGTTTTATATATGTAAAAAGACTGTCTCTTCATTAGTTGTTGGTGGTTGATCTTAATTACTTGACATTTTGGTTGTGATTTCCAGTGAATAAGGAGTTGAAACCAAGCCCAAGCCCTTAAGTTTATTCCAGTTAAAATACTTTAATTTCTTACTTTTGCTATAGTACTTTACCTGCTTATCTGCAAACAGAAATGACGTAGATGTTACTGCTCTGACTAAAAGAAACAAGATTGTCATTAAAAGTACCCAGATCATATCAGTGGGAATAAGCTCCAGTGACCTAAAAGGTCTGTTTATTTGCAGTGAATTATGTAGCTTGAAGTATATGCTCTTATAAACTAAATAAAGCCTCACCCTAGGCAGTTTTTCAGTTGTGTTTATTTTGGGAGTTAGTGTTGATTCCCACTCAAACACACTTTTTTTAATACATCTGAATGAGCTGTCAACTCCATCCCACCCATCTCAGCCCTTAGCCTATTCTCAGTCCGCTATTCTCCCTATCTTGAAGATGGAGTGTCCACTTCCCTTGGCATTTCTGTGCTCCATTCTTGCCTTGCTTCCTCCTACTTGTCTTGTCTGAAATGTTGGGGTATCCAGAGTCTGTCTTTGTTCCCTTCCTTTACTTTTCCCATTTCTGTTCCCAGAGCTTCAGTAACCCCATGTATATGAGCTGATCTCTTGTCTTAGACCTCAGGTCCATTTGTCCAACTGTCTAGGAGATACCTTTCCTTTCAAGGCCTGCTGGTCTTACTCAGAATGTACAAAAGCAAGACTTATCTCCCCAAATCTGTCCCTTCTTCTCTATTTCTGTGTGAGGTTGTGGCACAGTCATCCTTGTGGAAGCCTGAGCTAGAGCTCTGGCAACCATGTGAAGTCTTCAGTACCCTCAACTCCCCTGTCCAGGTCACTATCAAGCCTGTGGATTTTGCTACCAAACCTCTTATTCAGCCTCCTGTCTTCAGTGATTGGTTCTTAGTTCAGGCTCCCAGCCTACCCTATCTCTATTACTTGCCTGCGTGTAATTCTGTCTCTCTGGGTGCCCCACTCCCTACACAGGCAGGGATACTTCTGCATTCATTTCACACACCTGAATTCCTAACTCTGCCATCTAGCGATACCTAAAAAAATGTCTAGAAAAGAAAAAATGAAGCAAAGAGCTTGATCTCCCTTGTAAATGGTAAGTGTAGCTGAGTCCAGGACACATTTATATAGAATAGAGAATTCAGGGTTTCATCACAAGTGGATTTTTTTTTTAAAGTGCTTCCGGTCCTGATAAAGTTTTACAAACACAGAAAGCGACATTTTTTAGTTTCTTAGGATACTTGAATAACTTACAATAATCTTAAACAGCACTGGATTTTTAGATTTTCAGTTTATTGTTAAAACTGCATTTTGGCAATGTGCTATTTGCCTTCAGAGATCACCTAACGGTTATAGTCTTCTAATCAGGACCTCAGGGAGTCTTTTAAATGCAAGTTACCTCCTTCATGTCCATATCACATGCAGTCTCTCAGAGCTTATGAAAGGCAGGATGCATTTACCTTTTCATTGATAACCCTTGTACTGTCATGTCTGAGGCTCGTCACAGCAAGAAGAGGTTGGCCTTGGTCTTCGAATGAGACCTGTCTGAGTCCCATGAAAGTAATGGAGAGATTGGGGGATGGAAAAACTTCTACAGCTTCAACTCTGATCCAGTGTGATGTGCTCTGCAGCTGCTTCTGACCCTGGGAAAGCAAAGGACAGTCAAGTGCTCTGTTCCTCATTTGTTCCTTTTATGGCTGAGTTGCCATAAAATCATATGACTTTACACATTTTCTTTCACCTTTGATATATAATGAAAGACACCATTGCCCGCTTAAGTAGTGGAAATACAGCATACAGAGACATCAGGTGTTTTAGCAAGCTTCAAAACCTTGCTTAAGCTTTATATTTTCTGTGCAGAGAGTAGAGGTAATAATTGTGACTCCTGGTAAAATAATCTCACACACTTACTCAGAAAAATGGCAGCTCTTTACTTGAATGAATTGGCTATTTTGGTTTGAAAAAGTATCATTCTTTACGACACAGAAACAACCTTTTCCCTGGAATATCTTGTAATCATACAAGCATTTTTCTTGTGAGAGAAAATGTGGCTGAATTTGTTAAGATCTTGTGGTGAATCATCTGCAAAAGTGTGAATGAAGCCTAGGCTTCCTGTTCTTTCTCTTCTCTGGCTTGTCATTTTTTCTATCAATAAGCAGTTTTGAGGCCTCCACATGATGTATAAAGTTATTTGGCAGTGTAGGAGTGAGCTACAGTATAAGCATATAAAATACTCAATGACAGTAGATGCTTGACATCTGGTAATATTTTGGCATTTTAAATATTGTTTAGGGATCATTTTTTTAAATGACACAAGATATTTCTAAAGATACTTTGTATGATAAAACACCATGAAAGGATATATCCTGATGTTCATGGCAGAACAATTATCTCTAAGGTGTTCTTGATATTTGATGACAAAGAGAACATTTCAAGTCCTTGGGTCTTTGGAAATTGTCATGAAGACAGAATACAAGCTATTTTTAAAATCTGCTAAAACCACCTCCCTTTACCCTGTACATTGATCTTTGACTTGAATTAGAAAGCGGATTTCCCCCTCAACCCCCACTTGGTAATACTGTTACCTGGGCCTTTGGGTATTGGGCCTTAAATTGAATTTTCCTTACATAGAAAAAATGGTAAAATTGGTGTAGGTGATAGGTCATAACAAACCTAGGCTGTTTATTTGGAAGATTAGGTTCATGTCTGCCTTGTTTTCATGGGCCACAAGTATTAATTAGATTGAATGTTGTGCTGTCCATCAGCTAAGCAGTGTCCAGACACTGCCTCTTTTTAGCTGATGCTACTTTGGGGGGGCTCTTGCAGGAGTTAATGATGAAGGAGTAGTGGTAGGGAGGACACTATAGGTGAGACCCTTTGGTACATATTTTCAATCATGATTTTTGCAGGGCATGGTGGTACATGCCTGTAATTACACCTACTTGGGAGGCGCAGGTAGGAGGATCACTGTTCCAAGGCCAACAGAGCCAAAAGCACAATACTCTATCTGAAAAATAACTGAAGCAAAAAGGGTTGGAGGCATGGGTGAAGTGACAGAGCACAACGCTCTGAGTTCATACCCCTGTAGAGCAACTCCTTCCCCCAGAAAGATTTTCATATTAGAAACCAAGTCTATGAAGAAACCCCATCTGACATGATGAACCTTGGGTTGTGCACTCCTGGATTAAAACCTTCAAGCTTTGCTGTAGTACTGTTCAACTCTTAGAATATAGGGCTGGGTCATAACCATTAGTTGTTATCAAAGGAAATAATGATGCTATGATTTGAGTAAATATTTTAAAAGGTAATATCAGTCTTCCATGAAATCTACAAGTGAGTAATGTTTGATGAGCCCCATTGGAGACAACGGTCTTAAGGAGGTGGGCCTTTGGCTTTGGAGTGGGTTTCAGTCCAAGGCCTGCTATCTGGCTGCAGGAGCAAGGTCCTGGGCTGGTCACCTATTGTAGGCGCCTGGCAGGTATGAGGTTCTGGGTAAATAAGCATCCTTTCCTTCTCTGTAGAAGGCATTGGGGTGCTCAGCCCTCTGCTCCCGCGGCCCTGCGTGGTCTGTCCAACAGGGCAGGTGCTGAGAGCGCTGGGCGTTGGCTCACTGGGTGCCTCCAGAACGATTCTCACTGCGCAAGTTCCAAGTAACACTCCTCCTGTTCGCACAGGTGCCTGAGATCATCAGCTCCATCCGACAGGCCGGCAAGATCGCCCGCCAGGAGGAGCTGCGCTGCCCGTCCGAGTTCGATGACACGTTCGCCAAGAAGTTCGAGGTGCTCTTCTGTGGTCGAGTGACAGTGGCCCACAAGAAGGCCCCGCCAGCCCTGATTGATGAGTGCATTGAGAAGTTCAACCACGTGAGCTGCAGCCGGAGAGCAGATTGGGAGGCGGCGCTGCCAGTGCCTGTGCCCCCGATCGCCACCCCCGCGGAGCCCCGCCGGCCCATGCGCAAGTCCTTCTCCCAGCCTGGCCTGCGCTCCATGGCCTTCAGGAAGGAGTTCCAGGATGGAAGCCTGCGGAACAGCAGGTTCTTCAGCTCTTTTGAGGAAAACGACATCGAGAGCCACCTAATTAGTGGACACAATATTGTGCAGCCAACAGACATTGAGGAAAATCGAACTATGCTCTTTACGGTAAAATACTAGTAAGCTTTCTGCACATCCACATCTGAGAAAGTCCACTTTCCTGAGTGAAGATGCTTAGGAAGTGCTTTTGGATTTATGTGTGAATCTGTATACTTTTAGAGGGAACAATTCTTTACCTAGGATAAAATTCTTATGTTAACCATATGCCTTTGAAATCATTAGAGGGGAGCATAAGAGAATCCATCTTCTGTCTTCAACTAATTTTTATCTCCCTCTCATATAAAGACATCTTTCCAGTATGGAAAGAATAGTTAAGTAACTATTGTTAAGTAACATTGTTGTAAACAATGTATATTAATTTCAATGAAATCTTTTAGGTGGAAAATATTCTCTTCATTGTTTTATCAATTTATAAAACATTTGTGCTTTGTTAATCATGATAACCAGACTTGCTAATAACCTTATATTTGAAATTTGTACCAAAATGGAAATACTAGTTTAGCCAGTTGCTTGTTCTTTTCCAGGAAAAATATGTTAAAATGACAGTAAGCCAAATGCCGGGAAAGAATGGCTATAGTGGCTTTCCCTAGCTGTCAGGGTCCCTGTTTTGTTGCTGACCTGAGCTCTTCTGGCTGGGCTTGCCATCCCTGGGACTTCTATGGGTCTGAGCTGATGGGACTCTGAGCTTTCCCAGCAGCAAGCAGGTCTCTGATAGGAACTGTTTTTTTCCTTGGCTCTCTCTTTGCCTCTAAGTGCTGATTCTGTAGTGAGGAAAATTGCCCTTTTTGTGCTTAACCCAAGGAAACAAAATGGCCAAGAGGTAAGGAAGTGGTCCTATAGGTGAAAAACGTCGTGTTGATGTGTGCAGATTTATAGTTTAGAGGGGGTGTCAGAGAGTAAACAGCTAGTTTCTTCCCTCTTTTTATCATTGACCTAGTATACTGAACAAGTGCTCTGTCAGCAGTCACACTTCTACTTCAATGTGTGACTTATATATTTTTTCAAAAAACTTTTGTGGTGTCATGGAGGAGGCTGCTCAGTGCATTTATTTACAAGTTCTTATTGTTGGATTGCCTGTATAAGGTCCCTGCAGAAACTTAGCTGTGAAGAAGACAGGCATGGTCTCTGCCCATGTGGAATTTAGAGTCCAGCAAGGGGGACAGGCAACTGATTGTATAAATAATTATCTTATTACAGCTATGATGAATGCTGCAACAGAGAAGTAGAAGACATGGTGAGAATACCCAGGGAATCAGAAGAAGTGTCTTTGAGGGAGTAATTCTCACTGAGCGGAGGTTTCAATGAGGTCACTGGGCAGGGTCTCCTGGGGTAGGAAAGCAGAAGATATGGATGGAGCATGGTACCTGGGAGAGTCCTGAAGCCTCTGAACTGCTGTGTCCCTGGCTTGCAGGCTCCTCCAGTTGACCTGAGTCTTCAGGGCTCTGCTGTGTCAGGTCTCTGCTGAGAAGGTAACATGACATGGAGAAATAGTCACTAAGGCCAGTAGCAACCTCCCATCCTGCTTTTTTGTTTAGCTTTTCTCTATAGCACTTACGGCCATCTGACACAATTACAAATAAACAGGTAAAGTATATGTTCCATGTGACCCCAAGAAGATAGGCTTCATGAGGGTATAGACGTTCATCTGTGTGTTCACTGCCACTGTCACAGTGCCTTGTTGAGTGAGAAAGAAAGCCAGGTGACTGTACCCCAAGCAAGGAGGGAAGGTGGGCAGAGAAGGGACTGGAGTAAGAGTCAGGGCTTCCTTAGGCCTGGCCTTGTGGATCATGTTCAGGATTTTTCTTTTTTTGTCCTAAATGCAGTAGGCAGTCACTAAAAGGTTTAAAGTAATTATAAATGGCTTTTAAATACAGAACAAGGTAGAGGAAAAGGGCAGGAGTAGGGCTAAGAAGCCATTGCAGTAGTCCAGGTGAGAGATGAGGAGCTGGGAAGATGAAGCAGTAAACAAATGGGAAACTCAGGAGCTCATGCTGAGGCGATGAAGGGATTGATTGGATATGACCAGGACCTCAGCAGCCCCACCCAACTTTAAATTCAGATCTGTTCTTTACAGCCAGCTGCAACCAAGTAAGAATGCTTTGGAATTCGGCAGCTATGAGAGTTTCAAAGATTTTTTAAAAAAATAAATAGGGATTATCTTCTGTATGTAGGTAGAAACATTGACTTTTAATGAGATGAAATATACCCAAAGTAGAGATTTATTGTTTTCAAATAAGGTGGAGGGGTTGCTATACTGAGTCACCTCCTACTCTAGAGATACACAGTTTTAGTTTGGCTAATTTAGAAAGATGCTTCCTGTTAAAAATGTTGATTTTCATCATACTTGAATCCCATGGAAGAATGAGGATTTATGGCTACTGTCAATGTCATCTGCCTGGAAGACAGTTCAGAAATCATAAGTGAGCAAAAACTATTCTGAGTGCCCCACACTATAGGACGCTTGTTTCTTGGACCTCCTCATCAAGAGGATAACAACTCTAGATTTATTCCCCAGCTTCCAGCAAGCTTGTATTCCATATCAGGTGTAAACAGTTTAGCAGAGAAGAGATTGTGATTTACAGTGATGGCATCAGGATGTGACCACTCACTTCTCCATCCTGAGAAGAAATTCAATCTGTAGCAAACAACACACGCAGGAACAAGAAACTTAGAATGTGGAGGCTGGGGGGCAGCCTCCCACAGCCAGGGGAGTGCTCCTCAGTGTGGGCATCATATATCACAGCGCTCTACTAGAGTGGGTATTTCATGGTAACCCAAGCCAGTAAGACAGTGTCTAACTTTAAGGTCAGGTGAGTAGTGTATATGAATGCCTCACACATTGTATGTACTCTACTAACAGTAGATTATTTTGGAAATAATTTAGTAAAGACAAGATGCTTAAAAATAATCATTAAGAAGTGTTTTGGAAATTTTAAATAGAAACTTGTGTTTTCTAGAATATTCACTTGTATAGAAACCTCACTCCCTAATAAAGGGTTCTGAGGCTTATTGCTAACTTTTGAGTATTTGGTCTTTTCCACTTAGAGAAGGCTGCTGTCTCACATAGGTGAATGTAATATAGTTGTTCTGTGCCACCTAGAATCCATAGCATAAATTAGAACCTTTGAGACAATTTTCTATGATGATATAGTAGAATTTTGTTAGTGTTTACCATTTTCCTTTTTGTTCCCATAAGTCATGACATAAGAAAATTTGTATAATAAACTTGAATTCAGTTTTCATGAGAAGCTTTTTTGTTTGTTCATTTGTCTTTTAAGATTGGCCAATCTGAAGTTTACCTCATCAGTCCTGACACCAAAAAAATAGCATTGGAGAAAAATTTTAAGGAGATATCCTTTTGCTCTCAGGTAAATGGAGACTGGTTATTGTTTGACTGCAACTGACTTTTTTAAGGACGACTTCTGTTATCTGTCATACAGCAGAAATGCTAACAGTGTGACAAGATGGATTTTTTTTTATGTTCTTGATTTGTGATCTTGCTTCTCTTTTTCCTTTAGTATATTAAGGTAAACCATAATTTTGTAATTAAGCATTTTGCTCATAGCAAAAGCCATATTCTCTTAGCAGCAGTCTTTGGCATGTGTTTAATTTGTTGCTGAGAACATTGATGGAGATGACAGGGAATGTCAGTGATTGCTTATTGATAGAAAGTATTTAGTCTGAAAGTAGGGTCACTTGCAGAATTTCATCTTGGTGTGCTGCTATTTCTGAACTCTTAAAGTGAAACATTTACTTTTTAATGTGATAATTTTATTATTTCCTAAAGAAGTGAAGTTTGTAAGTTGAACTTCAAGCTATTGGCACTTGTATCTCTCTCTGCATGATAATGCTTTCAGAGGACCTGATATATTAATATTATAGAAGATATTTTATCTGTATTAAAGTTCTATTAGTTGATAATTAAAAAAAACGTTTATATATTAATGCTTACTAGAAAGAACTCTTAGGACACTATGACAGACTCTTGACCTTCATATCTTATACTTAAAAGATTCTGTAGTCTAAATATATGTAATATTTTTTTCATTGTTCATGCCAGTTTACATCAGCATTTACATATTTATTATTCTAAGAGTCCAGTCTGTTTTACATATTTTAACCTCTATAGGTATGTGAGTTTATATATTATACATGCATATGTATGTGTGGATGTGTTTCTTCTGAATCTCTGGTCTGCTTTTGGTTTTTCAATTTTTTTTTTTTTTATTTTTTAATGCCCAAGAAAAGTTCTAATTTTTCTGCCAGCTTTTCTCCACTTCCCTTTAGTAGTAAAACAAACATTAAAACTTAGATTTTTAGGCTGGATGCCAGTGGCTCATGCTTATAATTCTGGCTACTTGGGAGGCTGAGATCAGGAGGATTGTGGTTCGAGGCCATCCATAGTTCTCAAGATCCCATCTCCAAAATAACCAGAGAAAAGTGGACTAGATTTGTGGCTAAAGTGGCATTGTGCCTGCCTTGCAAGTTCAAAGCCCTATGTTCAAACTCCAGTCCCACCCAATAAAAAACAAAAACCCTTAGATTTTAATAGTTCTTATTGTGAGGGACTGAAAGTTACATTTTAGTAGAATATTGGTCTTCCATATCTGAGAGATGTTTTTAGATACGTCTTAATTTTAAATATGGGAGAAAATAGTAATTTGATAGAGCTCTTTAAAATCTTGCTCTATCAATCTTCATTTGCATTCCTGGCAGTGGTGCCTCTGTGGATACAATTTAGTCTTCTCTTCCCCCGCCTTCCACAGGGCATCCGACACGTGGACCACTTTGGGTTTATCTGCCGGGAGTCTTCAGGTGGTGGCGGCTTTCATTTCGTCTGTTACGTGTTCCAGTGTGCAAATGAAGCTCTGGTGAGACAGCAGGTTTACTCTGAAGCCTTACTTAGGAGGAATTTCAACCTCAGTAACTTTTTTGTCCTTAGCAAAACTGCAGGGTTGGGGTGTGGCTCAAGTGGGAGAGCACCTGCCTAGCAAGCTCAAGGCCCCGAGTTCAAATTCCAGTACTGCAAAAAAAAAAAAATACCCAAAATCAAAACTACGTAACCGTGTCATTTGGCTTTAATTATTCATTCGTGACTAATAACTAGCTAGTACACATCTGTTAATTTTGGTTAGCATTTTAAATTTTCATTGTTTTTAAAAAAGATGCTCATTTTCACCTTCTGGTCTAATCTAGCATTTAAATGTCATTTTATACTTTCAATCAGCATTTTGCTTTCACTCAGTATTTAATTTGTGTTTGCTTTGCATCTTACGTGCTTTAAGAACTACGAGCATCTAGATAGCATTTCTGAGACCATAATCCTAACAGTTATTACCATTACCTATTAACCTGTGGGGGGTAATCTAGAAAAATCTTAAAATAACAGGTTTTTTCTATAGATTTCCTGACCTGTCAGCTGACTTTAAGTTGGCAAAAACACTTGTTGCTTCCTATTATTGCTTATACTCTCTCTTCAACAAAATTAGAGATAAGGGCAAAATAGTTTCTGCTGGGTATTGAAGGGGTGGGGAGAGAGGGAGGGGGCGGAGTGGGTGGTAAGGGAGGGGGTTGGGGCAGAGGGGAGAAATGACCCAAGCCTTGTATGCACATATGAATAATAAAACAATAAAAAAAAAGAACTATGAGCATCTAGGTAGCATTTCTGAGACCATAATCCTAACAGTTATTACCATTACATATTAACCTGTGGGAGGTAATCTAGAAAAATCTTAAAATACCAGTTTTTTTCTATAGATTTCCTGACCTGTCAGCTGACTTTAACTTGGCTTTGTGCTGGCTCTGATTTTTCTCCTTGATTAGGTGGACGAGATCATGATGACACTGAAGCAGGCTTTCACAGTGGCCGCGGTACAGCGGACAGCGAAGGCGCCAGCCCAGCTTTGTGAGGGCTGTCCCCTGCAGAACCTGCACAAGCTCTGTGAGAGGATAGAGGGTGAGTATGGCACTTTCAGGCCATAGCACAGTGGTAGTTAAATCTCTGGAAAACCTTAGACCACAGTATTTGTTGCCAGTTTCTGCCTGACTGAGGCCTGTATTAGTAACAGACTCTCACCATGCTGTGTATGTCAGCATTTTCCTGGATATAGAGAACAGAACTCAAGTCCCCTTCTGCCGTCTTCATCGAATACACTCTGAGGTTAGTGGAGCTCACCAAACAGTTTCATGGTAGCCTTGGAGGTGTGGGTGGTGGTGAGTGGTCAGTTATATTGTCCCTTCATGAAGTACTATTAAGGTAAGACCTAAGGAATTCCCACGATGCTTCTCCATTCTATTGCCTGTAACCTCTGCCAGGACAGTTTCCCTGGAGGCTGTAGTTGAGGAATGAATGGGCAAGAATAAACAAGTGGTGACTGTAGGTACTGCTGTTTCTAGAAACTTATCTTGTGGAAAAACCATAATAAACTTTTATCATATGCAGTTGTCCTCACCACATTTGTGGGAAGGAGAGGGAGCATTAATTTTGCACATTTTACAGATAAATGAATTGAGGATTAGAGGCATATATGAATAAACCAGTATATATAGTGAGCTCAGGATATTGAGTCAGTGAGCCAGACAGGTTGGAATGGAGTGGAGGCCTTCCTCCTACCTCCCACAGGAAGAGACAGTGTCTGACTAGGTCAGCTGGGAAGGTGTGGAGAGGGACTGAGGCTGTGACAGTGGGTGGCTTGGGTATTCATCTGAGGAAATTCAGAAGATGAAGAGGTTTATACCCCTCTTCTCTTGATTTTCCATTTTATCCCTTTTATTGTAGGACTTCTAAATTGTCTGCTTTTGGGAATGTCACATGACTTAAACCAGCCAGGTTGTAAAAAGAAAACAGAGTGATCATTTCTCATGTATCTGGAATACTTTCTATAAGCTGTAATTGTGTAAAGAAAAAATACATAGGCATCTAGATCCTGTTTCTCTTTAAAAAAAAATTGTGGCAACAATATCATAGCAAAAATTACCATTTTAACTTTTTTTGAGTGTGCAGTTCATTGGTTAAGTTCATTTACATTGTTGTGTAACCAGCACCGTCTATTTCTAGAACTTTTGCATCTTCTCACTTGTAACTCATTTAATACTCTCCCTAGCTTTCCCCTAGCCCTTGACAACCACTATTTTACTGATCCAGTGAATTGGCCTCGGACTACTCTACGCATCTTATAAAAGTGGAATTATATAGAATATGTCCTCTTGTTTCTAGTTTGCTTCACTTAGCTTAATGTCCTCCAGGGTCACTCATGTTGTATGTATCAGAATTTCATTCCTTTTAAAGGCTGAATAATAGTCCATATGTATATCCATATATAAGCAGTGGAAATTTGCGTCGTTTGCACCTTTTGGCTATTAGAATATTGTTGCTATGACTGTCTTTTGAAGCTTCTGCTTTCAGTTCTTTTGGATATATACCCAACAGTAAGATTGCTGGATTATATAATTCTGTGTTTAATTGTTTAGGAATACCATACTATTCTACAATGATTATAACATTTTGTATCCCCACTGGCAATGTACAAGTGTATAGGAGTCCTAATTTCTCCACATTCATACCAAAAGTTGTTATTATTTTTAATGATAGCCATCCTAATGGATATGAAATGGTATGGTTTATTTTGAAAATGAAATAATTGACACTTGACATCTTACGGGGTCTGTGAAGACTTATCTGTGCCATTTAGTGCTCTTATTTAAAGTGAGTGTGAGTATTATTTTCAAGTGTTTTCCACATTGTTACTATTTGCTGACATACAAAATATATCTGGAACAAGAGAAGTTTGCTTTAACTAAAGATTCTAACTGAGAGGATCACTAACCCTTTTCTTAGTTGTTCTCAAGATAAGGTAAATGATGCAGAAATGTACCCTAAGAGCTCATTAAGAAGCCAGCAGTGACTCTGACCTTGGAGATAAAGCAGATAGTGATTTGCAGAACTGGAGTGCTTGCAGAGTTCACTCGATAAGTCTTTGGTCTGGCTGAGCTTTGAGAAAGGTTAGCCAGGGTAGGGATTTTGCTGCTGTAGTTTTGGAAATAATCATTGAATTAATCTTTCATATGATAAAATTCAGCCAAGGCGGAAAGCTCTGCTCATGTGAAAACCAACCACTCAGTGGTGCTGTCTGGGGAGACGATGTTTTGCCTGTAGGATAGGATGCATTTCTGAAGTCTTATCTGGCACATTTGGAGAGACATCCTCTGTAGAGGAGGTGCAAATTACTTTATGGGAAGATTTGGAGTTTCTTTTTGCTATTGTGACCTAATAAAGAGAACAAAGTGGTATTTACTAAAACTCCTATATTGGTAATTAAGTTATGGTCTGACCAAACACTGGAAAGGACCAATGACACAGACACAAGAAGAAAGACAAGACAGACTGTCTTTTCTTTTTTTTCAGACCGTGTTTTCTTAATCAGTTGATGTGATTGAGTTATTTCTGGGATCTGTGAAATAGGATGAATACACTATGCATATTAATTATACCAAATGCACAACTAACATGCTTGCACACCATAAGAGGTGCAGCTCTCAATTCTTTACTTATGATTCCCATGGCATTTAAATGGTATTCTGCTTATTTTAAAGTTTAAGGAACATTTGGGGAATTATTAAATTAATTATTACTGGTGTTTTTTGATGCTACTGGGGATTGAACTCAGTGCCTCATGTTTGCTAGGCAAGTGCTGTACCACTTGAGCACTTACCCCAGTCCAAATTAATTACACTTTCTTTGAAGAAACTTCAGCTGAGGTTTTCTTTTATTCTCAGCAAATTGTCCTCTGGCAAAGTCACTCCTTAAGCCCCCTCTAATAAAAACTTTCCAGCTTGACAGTGTGGGGTCGGCCTCATAAGCAGCAGGAATTCCCTGCAGTCTGGTTCCCTTTTCTGCTTTGTTCCCTGCCTCCCATTATCTTTGTTCCCAACAACCTCCCAACCTCATTTTGCATCACGGGGGGGATGGGCAAGAGGTGCGAAGGGGGGGTGGTCTGAGGAGATGCCTTCCTTGTGGACGCAGGGTCGGCTGCAGGTAGGAAGAAGCCATGTGGAGGGCCTGGAACTGGGAGGACCAGCTGGTTTGAGATGGGGCAGGAAGGACCAGCTGAAGTGAGGCAATCCAGTCAGGCTAGGACTTGGCAAAGGCTCCCTCCACATGCTGAGATGAAGAGGAGGCTGCAGTTAGGACTTCTGAGCTTCTCAAGTATACACTTAGTCTCTGACTCTTCTTAGAGCTCTGGGGTTTTCCCACTTGTGAATGTTTGACCAAATGACATGGTATTTCCAAAACTGTGTTGCCTAGACTATATCAGAGCATCTTCCATACTTGAGTAATTATTTTTAGTTAATGATTACTGAGGGCATATTGTATTCATAATTTTAAGCTTGCTTGCTTTAATCAGTGCTGCTGGTAAAGCTTTGTATCTGCTTGCCAGACTCTGTATGAACTGGCAACTGGCCACACTGTGACAAACCCCCTGTCCTTTCTGCACCTTACCCTACCTCTAAATTCACCTTTCCAGTGAAGTACCTGTGTGTCAGGCAACTTGCTCTTCTAGTCACAGGAGGCATTGGGGACCATCTAAGTCTGATTTCTGGAGGCAGACATGGTTCACATTCTAACTCTGTCCTTACTTGACAGATAACCTTGGGCAAAATACTTGACTTCACTGTGCCTGTTTCTTCATCTGTACATTGAGATTACTAAAAATAATGCCTGCTTCAACCTACTTCAGTGATTATTTTGAGGCTTAAATGAGACAACACATGAAGTGTTGAGTGAAATAGCATAATAATTGCTTAGGTGTTTTTTTGTTTTTTTTTTCCCCTGGTGCTGGGGATTAAACCCAGGCCTCAAGTATGCTAGTCAAGCACTCTTCCACTTTGTATTTTGTTTTAGAGATAGGATCTTGCTAACTTTGCTCAGGCTGGCTTTGAACTTGTCTACTTCCTGAGTAGCTGGGATTACAGACATACACTATTATGCCCAGCTGAAATACTGGTTGTTTGTATAGTGGCCTTTTTGGGTTATCTTGTGTTTAAAGAAAAAAAGGAAAAAGGACTTTCTGGAGGTGGAGATCATTATGGCAATTTGAGTAGGGTCAGTGACCTCTGCCCAGCTCCTCTGTAAAGTGAAGGTACAATTTTCAAGTCCCTCCAGCCAACTTTTTCATGGAGGTCATCTATCACTGCTCAGGCTCCTGACCTTTGCCCAGCCCTGCTCAGCCCTTGCCCTGCGGCTACCCCCTCAGGACAAGGAGAGTGGAAGGAGAGTTAGTTACTCAGGGAGAAAAGGAATCTTCCTTGCTAGCTGGGTCAGCAAGTTCTTCCATTCTTATCTCTCATCTTGTTTGACATTAGTCTCTGAACATCAAGAAAAGACAAAACAGGCCCTAGGCTCTGTGGGGGTGGGACTTCTTAAATATCAGATTCCCATGGGCACTAACATTCTACATAGTGGCTTTGTTTTTATAACTTTTCCTCAAAACTCTGTGCTGTGAATGAAATGACGTTAATACTGTTAATAGCATGGGCTGGTAAAATTGTTAGCCACATGAGTCAATTTTATGTGAAGAGAATCTAACATGAAAGAGAGAAATGTGGATCAGTTTTCAAACCAAGTAGTAGTTGCGTTTTCTTAGGTAAAGTTTTCATGTTCATATAAATGAGAAAATAATTCGGGACCACACACACTGAGGTGACTCCAAGTGTGTGGTCTTTGGAAGTTATGTAAGCACTCTGGTGTTTGGTTTCCCTTCCTGTGAAACTGAGATGCCAGCACTTCTTTCTCAGGTTGTTTGAGTATTAAATGAAAAGCACAGATTCGGTACCTTGTGTGGAGCACTTAGTGCATCTGAGCGATACCGTCATTGATCAGGAGTTCCTGAAACCTGGCCAGCCTGAAGAGGTGTATCAGACTGTAATGGAGTGAGTGTGAATGGTGTTGACTCTGCCTCATCACTTTTAATACTTTCCTCATGTCTTTTAACAGGAATGAATTCTTCCAAAACCAAACTAGAACTCCAAAAGCACCTGACAACACTGACGAATCAGGAGCAAGCAACTATTTTTGAGGAGGTTCAGGTACAGTACATAAGTTTCTCATTTCTAGCAGGAAAGTGAAGGCAGGCAGCCTGTCTGTGAAATGTCTTGTGGACAGAGTAGCAGAGCAGTGTCGTCATATACCAAGGAGGAGCCTTGAGTTCCTGCTGGTTTAAGCTTGCATAGTCCCTAGAAGGGCCAGATTAGAAATGCAGAGTCATGTCAGGTCTGTCAGATCTCATCTTTTATAGTCACAGTGAGGAAAACGGGGACCCCACTCTCTTAAAAAATATGTTAGACTGTGAGAAAAGAAATAATATACTGGGAAGAACCTCAGCCTGGTCTACACGCTCTCCTCTGCTCTCTGGGAACCTCTCCCTATTCCTTCCCACTCAGGATTTCAGCCAAAACGTGGGAATCAGGAGACACAGTTGCACACGAATTTGAAGAAACTTGTTCCTCCTCTTCTTTTAATTTTGAACATAAATGTAGTTCACATCATATACTTAAATAATGAACCTCAAAAACAAAAGCCAAGCTCACTGACTTTGTGTATTCTGGAAACCAGTTCTCACCCGTGCTTGCATGGAGCTGCGTGTTCCGGCTTTAAGGAGGTTTGCTTTCCATGAATCTTCAATGAGCTCATCGCAGACTTCATGTCTGCCTTAGTTGAGGGGCGCTTTCTGTGGTTTCCTGACACCTTTCTATGCCCCTCCTCAGGACAGTGTCACTGCCCCAAAGACTCAATAAATGTGTCTTTTTTTTTTTTTGGTGAGGGGCACATTGAATGACCAGCAGATTATTAAACAAAACAAGGCTAGCAATGTGTGGGTTGTAAAGTTCTACCTCACGCTCACTGGGGAAAGACTACAGATAAGGTCCATGATCTGTTTTCTGTTTTTTGTAAAAAATGACAGGATTCTCCTTTTAAATCGCATGGTGGGGTTCTTCTCTCTTTCCCTATTCTTTTGTAGTAGGATTGGTAGATGCGTGTAGAAAGGAAGCATAGGAAGGCTTTTTTATTAATTTCATATATAGTCTGGAGCGTTTTCACTTGCCTTTTTGTTTTCTCATCTTCTGAATTAGCTTGAGATCACTACTTCATTTTTTTTCTTTAGAGTTCTAAGTATACAGTCTTAGACAAATACAATGTGATGTATACTTGGAATTCTGAAATGGACAATTTGCTTCTGATTATTATAGTTAAAGCCAAGGTTGTTAGTGCTGGCCCATTTGCTGGTGTGGTGCTGTCCAGTCACTTAGGGGAGCATCTTCTGGGCAAGAATGGAGAATGCCCCTCCCTTCCCTAGTGTGGGTTTTCTCTTTTATACAGACAGCCCCACCTACCTTCCCTAAAACAGCATGATTGGCAGATCATAAAACATTCTCCTACAGCAGGGAGGATTCCTGACAGCTATGATTCTGAGCTTCTGTTTGCTCTGTGCAGGTTTTTAAATAGCCAAACACATTATGCCAAACAGACTTTAGGCAAAAAAAAAACCCCAAAAAACAGATGACAAGGTTCACTTAAACAAATAAAAAGCATTCAGTTAAAATCCCAGTGACCAATTATTTCTGTAATTTTATTTTATTTTTTGGTTACTCTGGCTTCGAAAACCTAGCTCATACTTTATTTCCTACCATCGCAAGTGTGGCTGTTTGCTGAATGACACAGATGTGGCATGGACCTTTTCTTCTGGTGGCATAGTGATGGTCTTGTTGAATTAATTCCTCAATGACCATTTTTGGTTTTTCTAAAACATTTTTGAAACCAAGTCATTGGTTTCTTTTTCAGTAGTGGCTGCTAATGTGTTTGAAAATCATACAGTTTAGAAAAGTCGAAGAAAAAGTTGGCTTTGCTGTTCTATGAGTGCTCTTATAATAGAATGGTAACTATTTTTTCCTTGCCCAGTCTTTCCTGGAGGGTAATTTGCTTCTGAATAAATCCCCCAAGTAAAAGTTTTAAAAGACAAATTTGATCACTATTGAAATTAATGGTGTATGATTACTTAAATAGTTATGAAAACATATATACCATATTCATTGTTATTGTAAATGAATGTTTAATGTAAAAAAAAAAAGTGGAACACATACAGAACCATAAATAAAAGAAAGCCAACAGTAGCTATGAAAATGATGCTGGAGATTACACTTGCTGACTGTGAGCACTCTGAGAGGACATGGTAACCAGTGGGCATGTGGGCATCTTAGCATTTCTACTCCTAAGAGGACTGGTGACACTGCAAAGCTGCCTTTTACTTACGAGCTGTTTGAAATGTATGGTTTTAAAACATTCCTAAGTGGACACATGTGAAGATGACGCCACAGGGGTCTTGCTCTCTTCTCATGCTGCTGACTGTGCTGAATTCAAATTGGTCATAGTCAGCAGGAAGAATTGCTTTCAAGCTGACATAGGGCTAGTTAAAAAACAATAAGTCACAAAGTGTACTTCTCCTTATTGGAATGAGTGTATTTCAGGGAATGATTTAATTAAATGCTAAGATAAATCAAGGAGAAACATCAGTAGGCACTGGTAATTCATTAAATCACATGAGATTTCACAAATTGAAGTTAAATGGTCAGAGGAGCCTGGTCCTACTCTCTAAAGATATATATATATATATATCAATCTGGCTGGATTTTTATGACTTTAAAATTATTTCTTAAATAAAATTGGATTAACATTTTTAAAGGAAGTTTCAGAATATAGTGTCCAATGAGCATCATCTCTTTGTTGTTTTTGATTTTTTGAGGCTGGGCCTCACTATGTAGCCCTCTCTGTCCTCAAACTCATTATGTAGCCCAGGTTTACCTTACACTCATGATCTGCCTGCCTTAGCTTCCCAAATGCTGGGATTATAGATGTGTACTACTATGCCTGGCAGTATTGTCTTTTTATTTAGTTTCCCTACCACAGACTTTCTTAGCATTCTGATGTTCATTATTAGGGTTGGAAACTTGTTTTTCAGTTGCTTTCATAATACTTTATAAGTCCCTTATAGAAATAAAATTAAGAAGCATGTTACAAAATTGTTTTTATTATTTTAGTAGGCAACTAATTATTTTGAATTTTTTAAAAACTGAAGTATAACATCCCTAGAGATGCATACAGATCAATGGTATACAGTACAGTGAATTTTTAAAATGCTAATATATTTATGCAGCTACCACTGAGGTTAAGCAATAGAGCTTTTCCAGTGTTGCTGAGTCCTTCTTTGTTTCTGCACCCAGGGAGCCACTATCCTAACTTCTGACACCACAGATAATTTTAAAATGTAAAGTGATGTTACCCAACTTGATTCACCATTATTTCCCTTGGATTTGTGTCTCTGACTAATGAATGTTATTAAACTTTTAAGAAATACTGAAATATTCCATGTGAGGCCATATGGAAGATCTTTAGTGATGACACCATACTATTTTGTTTGAAGTCAGTAGGAGGGTATCCTCTCACCATATTTCAGAAGTATTTTGAGGAGAAATTTACATACTTCTCTGCTGTTTTGGCTTCATTAGCTCTGAGACACGGTGTTCAATGGGAGACAATCATGGCAGTGCACTGTACTCAGTTGTGCTTTCATTCTCTGTCAATTTGAATAGTTTATTTCCTCTCTATTCTAAGGAGAAATGCATTAATATTCCTCCTCTCTCCTTACTATAAGTTTAGTCCTTTTTGGCGTTTTAAAGTAAGGCATCATGAAGAATTTTTCAAACAAAACACCATGATGCTATCTCCAAGGTTTAAAAAGGTAGGAGACAAAAGAATACCAGCTCAGTTCAGAGGCCTCCTGTAATTCCTGCCTGCTTCCCTGCAGCTTTTTTTTTTTTTTTTAAATATTTATTTCAAGTGCAGTTGTTTTAACTTTACAGAAAAACTGGATGGAAACTACCAAGAGTTTCCATGATAACTTTTCACTGCCTCCCACCCCAGTGTTTTCCCTATTATAATCTTGCACTAGGGTGGTGCATTTGTGCAATCAGTGGGTCAGCCAGTATTCACCATGTTATTAACTGCAGTCCATAGTTCAGGGTCACTCTTGGTGGTGTATATTAAGGGGTTTTGACAAATGCATAATATCCTGTATCCACCATTACAGAATCATACAGAAGTTTCACTTCTCTAGAAAACCCCTGTCTAGTCCTCCTTCTCTCCAGCCTCTGGCAACCACTGATCTTTTTCTTGTCATTATAGTTTGGCCTTTTCAGGTTTGCATCTTTCATTTAGCAGTAAGCCCTTAAGGTTCCTCCACAAATTTTCATGTCATGAAAGCTCATTTCTAATTAGTGCTGAGTAACAGATATTCCATTCTGTGGATGCACCACAGTTTGTTTATTCATTCATCTGTTCATCTTGGTTGCTTCCTAGCTTTAGCAATTGTAAATAAAGCTGCTGTAGATATCTGTATGCATGTTTTTGTATGGCCATTAAGTTTTCAACTCACTTGAGCAAATACCAAGATGTGCAGTTGCTGGATCATTTAGTAAGAGTAATTTAGTTTTATAAGAAACTGCCTCCCAAAGTGGCTGTGCCATTTCACATTCCAACATGGAATGAATGAGTGTTCCTGTTCTTCTGTGCGCTTTTAGATTCAGTGTATTCATAACCTTCTTGGGATCTAGTGATATTAAGTAGGGATTACATCACTTGACTACCATGTTCCTTTTCTGAGAATCTATTGGAAACTTGCTCTAGAAAACTCTGCTTGGTGCATATGACATGTAAAATTTTCTAACATCAGGATTCATGGTGTGAAGTTCAGGTTAAGAGTGTATATTGCAACCTCTAAAATATTCAATACTTAAGTATGATATTGAAAGCAGGAGTGAGTCCTCAATGAAAACAGACCCTCTTAATCATTTATTGTATTTCCCTTGAGTAACTGGAACAACTTACCTTTTAAAATGGTTTTTTTCTTTAAGGAAAGGTGTACCAAAAGTCTGGGTTGGGGTTTACCTTAGCTTTTAACGCCTGTGACATGAAGGATAAAACCACTGTTCAGCAATTAACTTAGAAGAAGTTGCCAAGAGTGGCCCTGACCCAGACTCTGCTGCTTATACAGTTGACCCACCTGTCACATCCTGACCTTGTGAAAGGGCAGGCCAGCAGTTTAGAGGAGGAGGAGGGGTGGGTAAGGGTCTGTAGAAGACAGGCATTCCCAAAGGTTATAGACCAGATGCTGTGGATCTCCAGGGTAATTAGTTTCTTCACATTCAGAGAAACTAATATGTCAAATTGGATGACCTTTTGAAAATGGACTGCAACTGATATTTCAAATGCAAAGATTTTAATTGCTGGAAAAGACTGTGGAGTTTATTTTGTGTACAATCTTCATTTTAATAGAGGTGGAAGCTAAGACTAAATGATCTGGCTTTGGTTGGCAACTAGAATTTTCATATCCTGATTTTTAGCATGCTTTGCCCCTGCCTTGTCTACAAATTAAAAGGTCTGGGGAGAATTTAAAGATGAGGGGAGGGATGAGGGGAGAGGAAAGGGAAGGAGAAGGGAACAGAGATGACATTTTGTGTTGCCTGCATCACAGGGATTACAGAACATGCTTTATGATGGACACATTTGGCATGTGACCCATGACCCCAAATCCAGTTCCTGTGTTCTTCCAGTTCCCTAAGAGCTTATAAAAGTGTAGTCATTATGACTCCTGACCTATAGGTATTTACACAGATTTTGTTTCTTCCTTCTGTCTTAAAAACTGTTTATTTATTAAATATTTTGATCATGCCTCTGATGTTAAAATTTTTAGGTAAAAGGTTGTGAGAGGTCGGAAGCTAAATCTGGCTCAGTGGCTCTACTGTCCTTTTTAAAAAATTACCTTTGTTGTTAAGATCACTGGTGCCCCCTAGTGAGATGATTGTGTAGAAGCACTAATAGTAGGTAGAAGCCATTAACACTTTCAAAAGGAAGTGTTTAATTGTATACAATTGATATATTGTATACAATCAAAATGTATATAATATATCCTGTTTGTTTTTTTTTTTAAAGAAATTAAGACCAAGAAATGAGCAACGAGAGAATGAATTGATTATTTCTTTTCTGAGATGTTTATATGAAGAGAAGCAAAAAGAACATACCCACATTGGGGAGATGAAGCAGGTATGGCACTTTTGGCTCTTGTAATTTCCTTTCTCTTGAGGGTAGTGGGAGTGGGAGGAGGGCAGTACTGGAGTTTCAATTCAGGGCTTCATGTTTGCTAGGCAGGCACTTTACCACTTGAACCACTCCACCAGCCCTTTTAGCTTTGGTTATTTTTGAGATATGGTCTTGAATTTATGACAGAGCCGGACCGTGATACTCTGTTTATACTTCCCATGTAGCTGGGATGACAAGCACACCACACCATGCCCAGCTTTTTTGTTGCTTGAGATGGTATCTTGTAAACTTTTGCTCAAGTTGGCCTCAAACCAAGATCCTACAGATCTCCAGCTTCCAAGTAGCTAGGATTATAGATGTGAATCATTGTGCCCAGCTCTTCTTATAATTTTTTCTGGACATAGTATAAACTAAGTTTTAGGGATTTTCTGAAGCACTGAAACCTCCTTTTCTCCCTAAGTTTGATTGTCATTTGTTGTATAGATAGGGATCATTTAGGAGTGCTAGTTATTCTTGGAGAAGATGAGAGAAGTTTCTGTCTGCATCAGAGGGTTAGAGCAGTTGCTGTGATCAGAGGAGTGGCTTTGAGCATCAAGAATTAAGAATGGGTACTGCCCTGATGAGCTGTGTGACTTGGCAGAGCTTGTCTTTGTCACCTCAACTTTTTCCCTTGAAAAATGGGAATAACATTGTACAGATGGCTTTGGGATTACATAAAGTATCTGAAAACTTTTTGTAATATAAGTCCTATGTGGATGTGTTACTGATAAGTGAGATACAATGTTAGAGAACCTGGTTTATGTGCTATTCAGATGTAGAACTTCCATGAATTCCATTTTGCAGGTTGGAGGTCCATTATCCCTCCTGTCCTCTCCCGTCCACAAACTTTATTTAGCTGTGCAATTTGTGGGGTGCCATGTCAGAAACTGTAGGTCTCTACCTTCAAGCTCTTTGAGTTTGACATTCAGTATACCTTGTGCCATGGCCACTTTCCTATGTCTGTTGACTCTATGCAAGCCGATTCACTATTAATAGCTTCAAAAGCATTTTATATTTGCTAAAGTCACTGGTCCAAGAAAACCTAGAGAAAAAAATCAGTGAAGGGTGTTAAGGGTCTTTAGTTTTCCAAGAGTTTGCTGCCTTTCTTTTTAAATGTATTCCAAATGCTTCTTCCAAAGGCAAATGCTGCATTAGTGCTCAGTGCTTTGCTCACCCTTGCTCTGTCCCCACAGGCGCCCTTTACTGTCTGGCAACCTAAACTTGGAGAAGTTTTAACTGGGTGCCTACTTAGTAACTCTCCCATTTGATTATTGCCTGCTGATGTCTTTGGCAATTGTGTCACTTTCCTGAACTCTTAGAGCTCCTGTGCAGTGTGTGACATTGTTTTTTTTGTTTTTGTCTTTGCTTTTTAAAATCTCATCAGAAGGCCCCAGAGCAGTGGTCTGACACTAGTATATCTTCTGTGTCCTTGGCTTTTTGCCTTGGTCTATTGCCATTCCTTCCCAGCCTGGGCTCATAAGATAACACTGGGATTCTGGGCCCTCCTGTGCACTTGGGGATGGGCCCCATCCAATCTCAGCTTTCAATGAATTCTCTAATTACTTTCAACCTATTTTCCCCTTTCTACCCTTCCACCCCCGTTTTTTCCTCTTGTGCCACTAGTAGCTTTTTCCCTGATCTGATTTTCTTTTTTCTTGAGTCAGTCTGACATGTTCCAACAGGAAATTGGTAATTGTGAAATAATTTTTATCTGTGAGACAAGGGGATGAAGCCATTTATGGTGGATGGAAAGATTTGACCTAATTTTTATGGACTAAGGTAATATCATTATGATTTTGCCATAGATTAGTCCAGTGGAGAAATGAATTTTAGTTTTCTTTAAATTTTCAAAACGTCATAATTTAATGTAAAAGAGACAGAGCCTCACAAGCAGGCCAGCACCTATATTACTTTCACCAGAGGCTTGTAAACATTCTGTCACTCAGAAGGCTCATGTTTGTGTCTGTAATGAACATGTTCCAATTTCCAGATAGGGTTGCTACCCCCAGCTGCACAACCCCCTGGGGCTCTGAGCAGCTTTGTAGATGGATCAGCCATAGCTGAGATTCACCAGTAGATGGCTGCTCACCATTTCTGCTGTCAGGTAGTTAACCACATGGACATCATTGCCTTTTTTGTTGCATCTGTAAGTTCCTATAGTCTTTGAGATGTGTTATGACGTGACCTATAGACAGGTAGAACCAGGGCTTTGACAAAGAACTTTTCTGGCTACCAGCTTTCAAAAGTGGCCAGTCCTGAGTCAGCAGTGACATATTCATGTTTTTTGGACTAGCGAGAGAGTGCTGAGAGCTGCCAGAGGAAATGATTTTCATCAGGTAGAAAAAATTGAACAAATCTTCCAATCTATGGAAAAGGAGTCAATTTGAGTAAAGACGTACAAGTTCCATTACAGTTCAATACACATGCACTCACACACACATAAGTATTCATGTTATAGTTACAGGGTGTAAAATTTTAGTCAGTGGACATATCACTTTTACTTGTATTCACAGAGGCAGTACAAAAATGAATATTACATCAGTTGCCACTTAGTGAATGTTTGCCATGTGTCAAATACAGTTCTAACTCCTTAATGAATTATCCCATTCACTCTACAACAGCATTTTTGAGGTGAGTAGTAAAATATTCATTTTAGAGTTGAGGAAACTACACCAGAGGTCAAGGAGTTTGCTAGTAAGTGACCAAGCCAGTTTGACCAAGTATATTAGTTTAATCATATTTAATGAGCTTAATAAAATTGAGTGCTATAGTATTAGTTATTTATTATCCTGGGTCCATTTTTTAGAAAAGTTTTTCTTTCTTTTCCCCAAACATTTTATTGTGAGAAATTCCAAACATACACAAAAGTTGAAAGGATTATCCCATGAAGCACTCATATCCCACCATTCAGATTTTATAGTTTTTAATATTTTACTAAATTTGCTTTATCATGTATTAGTCCACCTTAGTTTTTATTTCTTTTTTTCCCCAGTTTTGATTTATTTATTTATGTATTTATTTATGGTGGTTTGAAACTAGGGCTTCACACTTGCAAAGCAGGTGCTTTCAAAGCAGACACTCTACAGCTTGAACTACATCTTCAGTCCTGCCTTAGTTTTTGATGGCTTTGAGTCTCTGATCAACTCTTTGACCCTAAACACTTAGCATGCATTTTATTAACTGGGATTCAGGTTTTGTATGTGTGTGCTTTTTTGTTGCTCTTTTTCAGTGCTAGGGATAGAACCCAGGGCCTTTCACCTGTTAGACAAGCACTCTTCCACTGAGCTACACCCTAGCCCTCAGTATTTGTTTATAATTTTTGAAGGTAAAATGTGAATATAGGAAGTTACACAGATTTTAAATATAGTATTTGCTGACTTTTGAGGACTGCAACATCAGGTTATCCAAGCCCCTGTCAAGATACAGATCACCGTCATACCAGGAAAGACCCCACATTCGTTTTCCAACCAGTATTCACTGTCCCCTCTTCTACGCCACTTCTGCTTTGATTTTTTTTTTTTTTACCCTAGATTAGTTTTGATTGTTGTAGAATTTGGACAAATGGGATTATATGTGTTTGCTCTTTTACTTCTGGCTCCCTCCACTTATGTTTCTGAGGCTCAGGGCTTTGCCCTTGCAAAGCAGGCACTCTACCACTTGTACCACACCTCCAGTCCCCACAGCATCTTAATTTTTGGGTAAGTTGGTAGTGAGTTCAGGGCCCTTTGTGGATAATTCCCTTTACCCCAGAAGCTGCCCCAAACCTGGACAGGCTCTTATTCTTGGGAAGTGATTGCACAGGACTAGTCACAACTTTTAAGCACCTATCCAAGGCATATAACGTTTAGGAGGCACTTGGTGTTTAGTGAGTCTCTGTTGCCTCAGGTGTGTGTCCCCTGTGGGCCTGCCTGGTGATCTTTGCTCATCCACTCATTCCCTCGTTAGCAAGCATTATAGTCCAGAGTGTGTGTGCTCAGTGCTCGGAGAACACAAACATAAACGAGTCTTCATTCTTGAAGGAATTTTTAAGCTAGTAGATGTTCCTTTAATTCTCATAGGAATAAAATTGTAGATAATTGGATAATTATCCGTATCCATATCTCATCAGAATTTAGCTCTTATCAGAACCTTTTCTTTCTCATACACTTAAAACATGTAAGATTCACTGGTGAATTAGAATTTCTTTATTTCATAGATGTGGGTCTTTGAATACTAGGTTATAGAATTTTTAAAAAGAGTGCTTATTAGCAGTAGGAATTACAGAAACTATATTAAGAGAACATCTTCTGTAAATCAGTTTGGAGATGAGTAAGAATTCTAGCAATATCCTAAAAAAGTGTGTTGATACGAGGACTGTGAATTGGTACCATTTAGGTGCGAGAAGCTTGACAGTATCTGGTAGAACTGAAGATACATAGTCCCAGTGAGCCAGCAAGGACATCCTTATTATTTCCCCTGCAAAATCTTTCACCTGTATGTGATAGTAACTCTGCACAAAAGAGGCTTTGTAAGAATAGAAATGTTTAACAGCAGGAACAGGAATAGATTGGTTATACTGTGAGACACCGCACTGTGGCTGAAGTGAATCAGAGAACATTTGTCAACATGGATAAATCTCAAAAACAGCATTGAAGGAAGAATAACAATCAGAGGGATTTGTACAGTATGACACCTTTGAAAGTTTCCACTGCACATAAACCAACCTATGTTTTATGAATATATACAAATAAAAGTTCAAAATGTGAATTGCTGGTGTAAACACTAAATTTAGGAGAGTGGTTATATAATGGGGGCGACGCTGGTGGTCATGAGGCGTTCCATGTCTAGTGTTTCCTGCTGACAATGGAAAACACAATCAGTGGGCTCCATGAAAGCTGACATTTATTGGGTATCTGGTATGTTCTAAGTGTTTTAATTTATTTAAACTCATGACAGTTCTGGGAAGAAAGTTCAGTCTTCAGGTGGAAGAACTGAGAGGGACTGCAGGTAAAAAGCTGGCCAAGGCCACATAGTTGGGGATCGCAGAGAGGCGTGTCACCTAGGCATTAGCTCCAGAGCCCCTCTCCTGCTGTTCTCACCACCTGGCAGTGCTAACTTGACCAGGCCCGGATGGTGGGTAAAGGCATTTGTTATGTTAGCCTCTGTACTCTTTATATGCTTAAAATTTATGATTACTACACAAAGAATTATGTCAGTATTTACAGTGGTAGGGTGTTGCTTGTTTGGATATTTTCTAACAAAATCATTGTCTAGCAAGAAGCAATTATATGAAACTCCATATAAGAAGCAATTCAAAGATCTTTTAAAATATACATATACCTCCTTGTTAACAAGTAATACTAAACTACCTTTAGTGGTGTTAGACAAAGCTTATTATAGTTTCTGTTTCATGTTATGGTTAGTCAAGAGAGAAACTTGGTTGCAGAGGAAAATGAAAGGGGCATGGGAAAAATAGAAGAGGGAGAGAGGGAAAAGTCTGAAGGACAGAGATCTATTGAAAGGCATGAAGGGACTAATATAAACAAAGTACAAACATTCCTCAGCTGATAAATTTATTTTGTCTTACTCCCTGAAATGCTCCAAAAGGTAAGTTTCTGCTTTATTTTGAAAAGCTAATAATGGCTGTTTTTGTACCAGGTACTGTGTTCAGTGCTTTACATATTTTACATATTTTAGTGTGAACACACGTTGTTATGATTAGATAGTTGTTGGCTCAATTTACAGAAGAGGAAGTTGGGATTTCAGAGAAAGTAAAGAACTTACACAAGGCCACACTTAGTAGATGGCAGTTCTCTGACCCAGTTACAGAGCCTGAATTCCAAACTACTTTAGCTGATTGATTTCAAAGCACACATTCTCAATTTTTCTTAGGATAGCCAAAGCCACTCTTTGAGACCTGTCACTGTTAGTGACTCCTGTCACTAAGGAGTAGATGAGATCACAGATAGATGAAGAATGATGTCCTGTTTTCAAAAAGATGTGTCCTAGAATTTTTCCATTCCATTTTTAAGGAAGGAAGGGGGTTATAAGTGGCTTAACTGTTCATTGTTTCACGTTTTCAGACATTGCAGATTGCAGCGGAGAATATTGGAAGTGAATTACCACCCAGTGCCACTCGATTTAGGCTAGACATGCTGAAAAACAAAGCAAAAAGGTCTTTAACAGAGTCTTTAGAAAGTATTTTGTCCCGGGTAAGTAATAGGATTTCTTCTGATTTGAGTTAAATTACTTTTATGCAAGCATAAATTCAGTTTTGAGCTATTATTATATCAATATTCATCATGTAGTATAAGAATATAAATACTTTTATAATGTCTTGTCAGTCTTAGAACAATGTTATCTACATTTTCTGTCTATCTTATCTGTCTTATCTATCTATCTATCATCTATTGATCTATCTGTCAATTTATCTTGTGTCTCCCTATGTAGCAGAGACTGGTCTTGAACTCCTTATTCTCCTTCCTCAGCCTCTTGAGTGCTGGGAGACTCTTATCTTTTGTATTCTATCGTATGTTATTTGTTTTTGCTTTGTTTTGGTATCCCAAAAGAGTATAATTCATTGGCCAGTTCTTATAAAGAGCATAGATAGGATGTGCCAAGGTGTAGCCTCTGGTCTTCCTAGGTTCACTAGGGACAACTTGAAAAATCCTTTACTGTCAGCTGCTTTTGTCAGGTGTCTGGAACTCTTTATAGCAGAGATCCATAAATTATTTGATCCATGGGCCAAATCCCACCCACTCCCTGTTTTTGAATAAAGTTTTATAAAAACACAGTTACATCCATTCGTTTGCCTGTTATCTTAAGGCTGCTTTTGTGCAGAATTGAATACTTGTCACAGATACCATAAGGCTCACAAAGCATAATATACTTACTCTCTGGCCCTTTGCAGAAAAATTTGCCAACTCTAGCTGTATAGGAAAAACAAAGTACATATGCGCATCAATCTGGGAATTCTTTAAGAAATCACACCCCAATCCCATGAGTATAAGCACCTTGATGGCACTTCTAAGGAATCAAAAATTAATTTTCTGTCAAAGTTTCACACCTTTCTGGAGGTTGCAATATCTCACTATAGTTCTTTGTGACTTTATGACACATTCTCCTTGAAACATGCTTTATTCAGTTAAAGAACATTAACTTTTGTTTAATAGTTTTTGAGAACTTTGCAACAGCCTCTGCAGTAAGTGCAAACAGTCCATTTACAAAACCAGGGTTGAAGGGACTGCCTTACAAGAGCTTCCATGGGGATAGAATGTTGGGTGAATGACATGCAGCTGGCTAGTTGTGATGACTTATAGCCTTGGGGAAAGCTGTTGAAGGGCTTGAGCCCCTGGTTTTCTTCATAGACAAATGGTCTCTTCTCTCTGCCCATCATCCCTTCCAAGTAACTGATCAAGGTATTTTGGAACATTTAGTTTGGTGTGGTACTTAAAAATAAAAGAAAACGATGACAGAAATGTTGATTGTCTTAATGCACATGTATGCTTAGCAGCATTTATCAGTGGGTGCATTTTTCTTGAGCTTATTTAAATAGACCAAGCTGCCTCTGGCTGATACCTTTGCAAAAGCTGCAGGGGTCATAACCAAACTGCCTTGCCTTCATGTAGGGTAATAAAGCCAGAGGCCTTCAGGAACAATCTGCCAGCATGGATCTGGACAGCTCTGTGTCTAGTACATTAAGTAACACCAGCAAGGTGAGCACATTTCACATTTCTCTTTATGTGAAGAAACCAGCCAATAGGTCTTGCCTATCTTCTCTCTTTTGTACTCTGTGAGAAAGAACACAACACCTCTCATACCTCCAGACATAAAACATTTGGTGCAAGTGGAGAACTGGTCATGCAGTTCTGTCATAACATAAAAGTTTTGTGTAAAGGGCTGGGGGTATGGCTCAAGCGGTAGAGCACTTGGCTAGAAAGTACAACGCCCTGAGTTCAAATCCCAGTACCATAAAAAAAGTTTCACTTTAAAAAGGAGATGTCCATTCCATAAACAAAGAAACAACATCACAATTTTAGACAACTAAGATCTAATTTATAAAAGTATAACTAATGGATTTTTTTTCCCCCAAGGAGATTTTTCAGTAACAAAATTAATTGAAATTAGGAGAATCTCCGAAGGGGATTTGTGAAGTCAGAGATGTTTGCAGCTTTATCCTCTAGCTAACTTTCTGATACACATTACTATTTTTTAAAATAAGCAACTAAGCTTCTATTTTCTGCCACCACACAGATTTGGAGTGAGTAAGCTAGCACTTTTTTTTGGTGGTAAACCTAGATGCGTGTCCTTGTTCTAATACCTTGCTTCCTAGACACTTAAGCTTATTTTAACCTGGTTATCTCAGCCTTAGAACTGCCAAGAAGTGGGTTTGGGGTTTGTGTTGGGGAGGCTACCTTTCCCTTCTACTATCAGAGAATGCTCTGATGTGAGAATGAGGAAGTTTGCAGAGGTCAGCTCCTCACAAAGGAATGGTTTAAATTCTTCTAAGATCCTTCCTAGATGTGTGGCTTTCAAAGTTTTTAGACCATGACCAAGAGTAAGAAACAGACTTAACGCTGGGACATAGTTCACAAATACACATACCTACAATGAAATTGAAAGTCCACAAAATGATGTTTCTCTGGTTACCATGCAATATGTACTGATGTTTTCTGTTCTATTTTATTTAAAAAAATGCTCCTGACAAGCCACTGCATTGTTATCACTATGTACGAGTGTGCTACAGTGTACAGTTTGAGACACTATTCCTTAGGTAAGCACTTCTCAAATTTTAAGGTGCATCTGTGGTGGGGTTCCAGCCAAGGTGCAGATTCAGGTTCAGCAGGCCGGGGCAAAGCCTGAAAATGCCGACTTTTTAATAGGTACCAAGAGGATGATGCTACTGCTGCTGCTGGTCTGCAGGCCCTTTTGGGGAGAGACACCCCAGATACAGTCTTCTAAATGTGATTTTCTAAGTTAAAAACTAGTGGAATAGAGTGGTATCCAGCCTCCATCTACGACATACTAATTCTGCCACATGACTCATCTCAAGTGTGGAAATGTTGTAGTTTATCTGCTCCCTAGGAAGAGAGAGATGACAGATACACAAATACCCCACCTTCAGGAGATGAGGTGCAGTTAATGAGGTTACAGTTGGGAGGGGAAGAGGAGTTAGATTCTGTCAGTGAAACCACAAGAGAGCTTAGGAAGGGGAGGGAGCAATACTGTCAAATTAAACCTTGAAGAAAGCATAAGAATTGTACCCATGGCAGTGAGTAAAGAGGAAGGGAATCCGGATAGCTTAGTGTCAGTAAAGACACCATAGAGAAGTTCCTGTCAGTCATGTGACTAGTTTAGTAATTCTTATTGCTTGCATTTTATTCTTCAAAAACACAGATCTGGGAATAGATGCACAGCTTCAGTTCCCAGGGTAATTAGGAGGGAGAAATGTAACTTAGAAGGTCACCGTATATAGTGTCTGTCTTTGGTACACTTCTTTACATCTTTCGTGTCCTCATCCTGAATGGGGGAACTGCTGACTGTGAACATTTTATGTGCGTAGATCTGTCCTAATAAATTTTCCATGTAGATGTTGCACAGAAGCTGAATATCTGAGTGGCTCTTTCAGTTGTTAGTTTAAGCTAGGGGTTAGTGCTTTCACATAATTTGGAGCAATGTTAATAAGAATTTCAATGGCTGGGCACTGGTGGCTCACACTTGTAATCCTAGTTACTCAGGAGGCTGAGATCAGGAGGATTGCAGTTCAAAGCCAGCCTGGGCAAATAGTTCTTGAGATCCTATCTTGAAAACACCCATCACAAAAAATTGGACTGGTGGAGTGACTCAGGGTGAAAGCCCTGAGTTCAAGCCCCAGTACTACAAAAAAAAGAAAAAAAAAACCAGACAGAATTTAGTTGAATAGGTTTGCAAGATGATGATTGTTTTCTGTGTTGTATTGTCTTAGAACAATTTATAAATCCTTAAAAGAATCTTCAGAGCTATAGAGTTTTAAAGAATGGAAAATTTCAGGTATAAAATAATTAATATTTCATAGTATGATGAGAATTAAGCTTTACTATATCATTCCTATAAAATTAAATGTAATAACCTCCCCCTTTAATAATCACGTTTAATTTTTAAAAATTAAAATCCCCAGTATCTGTCACCCAAAAGGCATGTATTCAATGAACAAGAACTTAAATTCTCCTGTCCATCTTTAGATGTACTTACTCATTCCCTTTTACTGTATTCATGCTGGTATACTTACCCCTTCTAGCAATTTCAGTAGTGACAAGCTGGCATACTTCCTCTTATTTTATATTTTTTTGATTTGAAAAAAATATAATGGCCCCTGCCATGTCCTGGTCATAGTGCTAAGCATTGGTTTACAAGAGCAATAGTAATTCATTCCTTCAAAGAAAAAAAAAACACACATATGTTGAAAACGTGCCTTATTAAAATATTATTAGAATTCTTGTTGAGTGTTTGAGCACTCTGTAATGAAACAGTAACTTGGTTTCAGTACTTTCCAGAGTACTTTCCATTGTATTATCTTACTTAATTCTGGAAACAGATAAATTTTCAGTATTCTTTCTCACAAAAGGAAAATGTGATGCAGGAGGAAGTTAAGTGATTTCCCCTCATTTATAACAAGTGCCTAGGGAGACACTTTTCCATACTCTAAGAACATAAGGTATAATAGTTTTTAACCTCAAAATTATCAAGTTAAATCTCAACATCAGATAAATTTAAAGAGAGCCTTGAAGTGTGGGTAAAATGTAGGAATACACTTGGCAAAGATAAAGCACTTGACTAACAGTGAAAAGCAGTTGTCAGCACTCATTTTAACTTCTTACAAGCAGTAGTAAAAAGTCCTGTTTTCCAGAGAGAAGAACTTCTGTTTGTAGTACTGGTGATTAAACCCAGGGCTTTGTACACTTTAGGTAAGTGTTCTACCACTGAACTACACCCCCAGGCATACTTATGGCATTGCTTAGAACAGTAACCTATTACAACTTGTCTTTCGTTCTTGCATTGGCACAGCTTCCACATTTCTCCAGCAGGCTAGCATCTTGACTGATAAGCTGGTATTTAATTGACCTCTGTGTCCTTATATTTTTGATGGGCTCTCGATGGTAATTAGATATTCTTACATATTAAAATGTTTTCCTGTACTTAGGTTAGAGATTTATCAATCCCACAGATTGTCCTGTAGTATGTCTGATCTGTTGTCTGTTTTCTTTCAGGAGCCATCCATGGGTGACAAGGATACCCTGCCCATCTCTGAGAGCTCCTTCAAACTCTTAGGCTCCTCGGATGACCTGTCCAGTGACTCGGAGAGCCTACTCACTGAAGAACCTGCTTTGCTGTCACCTCAGCAGGCCTTTCGAAGGCGAGCAAACACCCTGAGTCATTTTCCCGTGGAGTGCCTCGAGCCTCCAGAACCTGCTCAGGGCTCCCCAGGGGTCTCTCAAAGAAAACTTATGAGGTATCACTCCGTGAGCACAGAGACACCTCATGAACGGAAGTAAGAGTTGTTTAAAACATGAAATTTGCTGTGCAGATAGCTGGGGCATACTGCAGACCAGATGTGTGTGTCCAGGTGTGCTTATTGGGTGAAAGAGAAACCCACGTCAGCAGCAGTGTGTTCTTCCCAGCATCCTTAGGAAGTATGTAGATGTAGGAGGTGCTTGCTGCTTGTTCAAGTATAAGCATTGGTAGAAGGCAGGTAAACATAAGCAAAAATGGTCCTTGCCATGTATAATTACTTCTTAAACAGTACAAGAGATGCCATTGACTTTGAAACTTGGCTGCCAGCCTTGGGGAAGGGGGCAAGTGGGTGAGCGAGGTCTCCTCATTTGGAGACCTGGAACTGAGCTGCAGTGGAGTGGAGATGCAGTGTCCACGCGGGCAGAGTGGGAGACCCCTGTGGACACCCAGGGTGTAAACCCAGCAGCCTGGGTTCTGGCCCTGGCTCTATAGCTCGCTGTGACCTGGGCAGATTTGCTGAATAGCTTTGTATGACAAAATTGGAGTTGAGGTTTTCCAAATCTCTTACGGTAACAATTCTAGGTTCTTCTGATAAGATTTACTCATTTTAATGATTGGGCTCAAATGAATAGTTGCAAATTTTACTGTAACAGAGAAGGGTAAGCAAGATGGTGGCAGAAATTTTCCTTTCTTTCTAGAGTACCTTAGTGGTTAATTTAACCCTAAGTTCCAAAGACTGTAAATGGACACAGAATTTTTAAAAATAACTTTAAAAATCTCTCATAACTATGTATGTGGTGGCTGCCTCTCTCTGACCATGACAGCAAAAGCCCCAGGATAGATGTGTCCATGTGGTTCATACACAGGTAACAGAGGGTCTCTTCAGGGTGTTCGAAATTCCTTGAGAGAAGTAACACACGCTGACAATCCTGGAGTAGTGTAGTAGGGCCTTATAGCAGGGCGTGGCAGCTTTGTTTTCAGTCACCCCTTGAAAATTGTTATTCCTTGGAATTCAGCTAGGTAACTGTGATCACAGAAGCAGGACATCCTCCAGAAGCTATTTAACAAATACGACATTCTAGAGACCAGCATAGTTTGGCTGTAGCCATGTAAGTTTCCTGTTGTGTTTCTTCCTACCCTTCCTGTACACTTCTCACCACTGCATACTCACTCCTTTTCTGGAGTTTTCTGTGATAAGGGAAGTGTTCCTATCTGGAGAACCCTGATCTCTTGCCACAGCTGCATTCACACATTATCTCAGGTCTTAGTGTCTCTACTTTTGCTGTCTCTTCTAAGAATGTAGCTTTGTAATGGATTGTGTTGAATGATGGATATGAGAAGGAAGGAGAGTTGTCTGTCTAGTGTGACCCTTTTGCTTTCTTTCCCTCTTGAGATCTGTTCTCCTTTAGGTGCAGGAAACATGGCATTGAAATTCAGGGCAGGATTTTATTCATTTCAAAGGGAAATGTATTTTTGAAATTTTGGATTTTTTTTCTTTTATTTTTGTCTTAATCTTTAAAAAAATTTCCTCTCAGTTCTTAGGGAGTAGAGAAAAAGTATTGTAAGCTTAGACAAAGTGGAAACTATCAAGAATAGCCTCTGATACTATTTTTACTGAAAACTGGCTTTGCCAGTGAGAGAGCAGAGATGAGAGTGGAAAGGAGTCCTGTGGCTCTGATAGTTCTGTTGAGCTTGTAAGATAAGGCAGCAGTCCTTGCTCCTTTCTCTCTATTTCCTTCTTCTCCTTGCAGCCCTCTCCCTCTTTCCCTTCTAACCTCCCATGCTTTCTCCAATTGCTCTTTAGCATGGATCATCCTACTGTGGGCGAATCTAAGGGTTGCTCAGGTCAGCCTTCAGCTCCTGCTCCTCCACCTCGTCTTAACCCCTCTGCCTCCTCGCCAAACTTTTTTAAGTATATAAAGCATAATTCCAGTGGAGAACAAAGTGGGAATGCTGTGGCAAAGAGGTGAGCACACTTGCATGGCAAGTTCAGTGTCGTCTGTCCACCTGGGAGTTCACACTGACTGAGCACATGCTGCATGGGGGTGTCCACACAGGAGGCCCCACTCACTGCTTGTGTGTGCGCGTGTTTATATTTGGTTTTATTGTATTCAGCTGTCATTTGAATTGACTTAATTTTGTTACTGATTTTCTTTAAAATAATTTGAAAACACTCTTGATTTTATGTACTTATTTTCACATTTCCCCACCTTAGTGTGTGTACACGCATGCATGCGCACAGCTTAACAACTGTGTTTGGTCATGTACACTGCCATTTGAGCCATATCAGAAACTTCCTGATTAATGTAGAAAAATGATTTTTTTCCAGTTTGAAAGGAAGACTCATTGGAAAGATGGACTGATTTTTTAAAAAATATTTATTTATTGATCACATTGATTTTGATGTTCATTCAGATCAAATCTTGATTAAAAGTTAAATCTCATTTGTGAACTATTTTTAATTTCTTACCTTATTTACTTTTCTTAGCATTACAATGAAAATTTTTATGTTTTATACTTTGTGTGTTTATTTCTTTTTATCCTAAACTCTTTTTCAACCAAACTCTCAGCATCTCCTACCGTAATGCCCTGCGGAAAAAACTTCATTCTTCCTCCTCTGTGCCAAATTTTCTAAAATTTCTGGCTCCTGTAGATGAAAATAACACATCTGACTTTATGAACACAAAAAGGTAGGGTTAAATTTAGATACATCAAACCTGGATGTTATAAGTGTCGAATTATTGTCAGCTCTATGGGGAAATTTTAACTGTTCTTTTTAATTGTTCCATTTAAAAATTATTTCAGCTAAACCTATTGTATCTCCTTCCAAATCATTTTTTTTTCTTACTGAATGTCATTTTAAGAAATGGGTAGTTAACCTGTCCTCCAGCTTTGACTAGGGTTAGTTTATTGTTATTTTCAGAAGATTAAAGAAAGTCTTAACCTGTTCTTTTTAGTGAACTTACGACTGTCCTAAATAAGTCAGGGTGTCTCATCTACTTTTTGGGACAGTTGCTTCATGGTGAGTACGTAAATTACAAGGGCTTCCCATGTTGGTTGTGAATGGGGAAAAATTAATGATGGTGTTTATATATATTGACATTATACTTTGTAGTTTTGAAAATACAAATGCTAAAGCAACTCTCAGCAAATGACTATGGAATTATTTTGATGGATCTGTGTAATTTATCTGTAGCTTTTTTTTTCTTCTTTCTTTTTTCTTTTTTGTGGCATTCATGGAGGTATGGGCCTGTGCCGGGAAAATATTCCCACAAGGGGAACTAGGGCCAGTAGTACCTTGGTGACAGCGCCCCCTATAGACAGTGTGAGATTTTTGCAGTGGCACCAGGAGTGGTCCCGGCAGAAGTCCCATCCGTGGAGTGTCCTTAATGCTGTTCTTTTGCAATAGAAATCACTTACGGCTGTGTAGTCTTGCTCCTTTTGTGGAAGGCAGCCTGCAAGACAGCAGTCCTTTAGGACTAGTGACTCACTGTGAACTTAACTTCTACCCAATAGTGTGTGGCTATGTGAAGATAATTCATAATTTAGTGTTTTTTTCTTTTTTTAAAGTCAAGCTAAAAATAAGACATTAATGTCTGCCCACCAGTCATAAATCAACAATCTTTCAATTTTAGGGACTTTGAGTCCAAAGCAAATCATGTGGGTGATGTGGACACGACCCCAGTGAAGACCCGGCGGCACTCATGGCGGCAGCAGATCTTCCTCCGCGTGGCTACCCCACAGAAGGCGAGCGACAGCCCTGGCAGATACGAAGGTGAGGGAGGTGAGGGGGCAGTTAGGGCGCCTCCTCCAACAGCAGGGGCATGTGGACTTCTGAGTGCGGGAAGCCCTCCCCCAGGAGTTGTCAACTGCAGCAAGCCTCCCAATTTCTCACCCGTAATCTAGGATTAATCGTGCCTTTGCCACACTAGTTGAGATAAGGAAGATGATGTCAGTACTCACATATATATATATTCTTAGAGTATTTAAAATTCATAGTATTGGAGAGAAAAGGATTGATGGAAATGTTTCCAGTGCATTGACCCCTCCTGCTGTGGAGGTCCCTGTGTGCTTCTGCCCCTCCACCTGGGTGCTTTGCACATTCTTGTATGTTTAGCTGGTGGCAGAGCTACTGCTGTGTCTAGTGGCTCAATGAGAAGTGGAGTTTAATTTCTCTCACCACCACCATGAGCGGATAGCAGAGAGGTACCTCCTTCTTCCCCTGCCCAATAGAGAGACCCGCCTCCTGCAGATGGAAGCTTCCTCCCAGGTTCTGGAGATGGACCCTGGTAGGGGTTTGGGAGTAAGGGGAAGGCTAGGGAGCAGAGGGAGGTCATGGAGAGGGCACTGAGCTGTGATTCCTGTGTGAAACAGCTAAGCAACAAGAACACCAGAATCAGAGAGTTTCCCGGTTTAAGGGCAGCGTCCCCCAGTGTTGCAGTGGCCACGCCTCACCAGGAATGGTTGTGGAGACTGAAGTGTGATAAGGTCTATTTTAAATGCTTAGTGCAATGCCCCATATGTGTTAAGGGCCACAGGTAATGGTGTGAAGCTGTCTTTTCCATTTTTAGCATAGTTCTAAGTTTCCAAGTGAGCTTTTTTAGATTGAGCCAAATCCTGCCTCCCTGTCATTTCATCTCTTGGTTCTGTTCTGGTCTCAGAAGACACACAGAATAAACTTGCTTCCACCTCCTATTCTTCATTGACCATGGGTCTTAGAAAGCACTGATTATTTTACATCTTTTCTCCAGGTTGATTGTCCTTGTGATTATAAGGCATCCTCTGGTCAAATCCTGTCCTGTGGTGGAACCCTGAACTGAACATGGTGTCCCAGGCCTCTGATCCACATGGAATAGCTCTTCTCCCATTGAGTTGATTCTGTCCTATTGATATTGACTTAGTCTCACAATCTATTTTTGCTTTAAATAACGGACTCACATTTTTGGCTCCTATTGTATCCTATTCTTTGGGGTACGAACTGTGATTTGAAAGTCAGACTGATGCATGTCTGAACTTGAGGCCTTCTGTAAGCTCACCTTCCGTAGGTAGTTTGTACATGTGAGGTATTCATGAGCTTTGGCCAGTCCTTTTAGGAGTGTTTGGAATCTTGATCCTGGTGACAGCCAGTTGTGTACAGTTGTGTGTAGAGTTGCTGAGCATGGCCTTTGATTGATAAAGTGCTGAGCAGAGAGAGCCCAGCATAGACACTGCTCTTCCTTTTCATGGGCAGATGGCAGCTAAGCCATCTCCTGCAGGAAGGTGTCCTAAGAGACCCCTGTCAAGTGCTAGGGGAAGGTCACACTAAACATTCACCCTTTTCTGATGGAAAACCAGCCTGCCCCCACTAGTGCCCCATGTCCCCTTGGGGCAGTGATGTGACCTCCTTCATATCACTGCTTCTGATCACTTTGCCTATGAGGCTCTCCTGGCCACTGTTTCCCGTGGCATACTCTCCCTGCTACCACCAGACACTCTGATTGTCCTCCTCCTGACTTTTCCCAAAACACCTCATAGCAGCTTACTCATTTTCTTTATTGTCGGTCTCCTCCAGCTCACTCAGGCTTGTGGCTCCTAAAGGATGGTGAGTCAATTGCTCTGATTCTTACAAACCTCATGCTTGTTCTCTAGTGGTTCCTTACTCTCTCTTCTTGCCTCCTGTTTTTCTGTAGGCAATGTCTTTTCTGTTCTTTTTTCAAGCTAAGAAATGCTGTTTGAATTTCTGGATTATATTGTGGGTATTCCACATATATGAGAGGAAGAAGGATGAGAGAAGAAAAGGATTTAAAATTGAATTAATATAGTAACAATCATATATAATACTGTTTTAATAAACTGCTGAGTGCTTTACATGAATCATTTCCCTTAATTCCCAGACACTTATGAGGGTCACTTTTATTATGCCCATTTTATGGATGGGGGAGTGGAGGTTTGGAGTGGGTTCAGTCACTTTCCCCAAACCACAGAGCTGGTGGGAGCCAGAGGCCAGAGCTGAGCTCATGTGTATGCACCAAAGCTCTGGTTCTGAACTGCAGATGCCCTGGGTTGTGGCAAGAGATTCCCAGTGCAGGCTGCTAGGTGTGGCCCATGCAGGTTTCCTGTGAAGCCCCCCCACCCCCCGCCCCCTTAAGGAAGTGTCTTGCAGGCCTTGTATGCTCAGGTTACCTGAGTGTCTCCCTGTTGACCAGGCACTGACACTGAATGGAGAACATGTGTTTGGCCATTTTAACGTGTAGATCTGCCTTTGGTCCATCTCACCCCTCCTTTCTCCACGTTACTCAGCCTTGGGACTAGAATGTGGAAGGGAGGAGATTGATTTCTGCTTGTGACTTTTCTTCTTCCAAATAAGGTAGCTTTGTCCTCTGTCACTGTCACTCCATCCTTAGGACACAGAGAGGCCTGGGCCTGCCACTGCGGTTGACTACTTTGACCTGCACTGGCAGCCCTCCATGTATTCCCCTTCAGAGAGACAGAGGCATCCACATCTGAAGATATTTGAAGAGTCCAGGGTTTCTCCCCTCAGAAGTCAGTTTTGTCCCTGCTGGAGGTAGTGCCAGGTCTCTGTTCCTGCTTTGCCTTAGCAACCGACCTGTGGGAAGCAGAGCTGTCTGCAGCCGGATGGCTGAGCTCCCACTCTTGACTTGGACAGGAAAGACATACAAGTGTGCTCATAGGAAATGCTGTTAATGTGCCTTGTAAAACCTGTTCTAGATGCTCAAAGTGACCAACTATTCTGCATTTATATTCTGGAGGTGCAGGCAGACAGGAGACCTTTACAGCCTTTCTGTGAGGTGAAAAGTAGGTAGGGATATTTGTACTGCCTCATCCTTTTCCTCCCACTTGGAAAATGCTACTAAAACAAATCACCAGTAATTTAAAAACCATGGTATTCACTCAGTAACAATGGTACTATGAAGGAGAAATAAGATTTTCTGTAATTTAGGGTTCTAATTTTTATGGATAAGTGAAAACTGGGAGAGAAGGGTGTTATAGTGAATAAGAAGTATACTCTAAATAGTAAAAAAGGACAAAAAACACAAAGTCAAGCAGTATGGATAGAGGTGGAGAGAGTACACTGGGAAAATACTGTCTGACAAAATTGGTCTGGCATTTACTTAGGGATGGTGACTGAGTAAACAGCTACCTGTGAAATAATTAAGTTGCAAGAATTTGAATTTTATGCTTTAGAAACCAACCTGAAGAAGGTAGGAAGTTAATTTATATTTAGAAATTAATTCTGTATGTCTAGTAAGATCAGGGCAAACATTCCCCAGTTCATCTGTTTTTTTTTTTCCTGCTTCTGGGGATCAAACCCAGGGCCTAAGCATGTGCCATGTGCCAGGCAAGTGCTCTCTACCACTGAGCTGCACCCCCAGCCCCTGTCAGCAGTGACTGGTTGGTGTTTTGTAAGAATTCCAACTTTAAGTTAGCAAAGTCTGAAAGAGCTGACTTTAATTCTAAACCTATAAAGGGAAGACCCTACTTCTCAGATGATAGGTTAGGTGTACCACATGCATTGCATGCTAAATAGGAAATGACCAAGTTTTGTTTGAAGTCTTGGCAGGGCAAGCATTTCCATAAGGAAACAAACATGGATGATGAAGTAGGATATGAAAAGCTGCACAGGGGCTTAACTATAAAGCACATGGTGGTCACTTACAGCTCTAGGAAAATGTGTTGTCTCTTCTTTGTGCCATGAGTTCTCTGGGTGAGAGGCTTGCAAGGCTGAGCATTTGAAAGAACCATACTTGGTAAGCTATTCATTCAATCTAGGGTGGTAGTAAATCAGGACACAGCTGCAGGTTGGGTGTGTTTATGACTGTGAGGCATGGTTGAGGGCAGACACACTGCTGCTCTGAGTGGAGGAGAGTGACGCTGGCCTGTGTAGTAGTCTCTTGTTTTCCGAGCTCACTGCTGAAGGCAGGAAGGTGAAGGTGCTGTCATCCCTCAGATGAAGGCGTGTATACAGTGTTGATCTTATCAAAAGGCAGATGCTGATTTAGTAGGTCCAGCACGTTCTAAGCTCTTCTTCCGTTTCTCACAGGCTTCTTAGAGATGTTGATGTTCTTGCTCCACTTTGAGTAGCAAGGGCCTAGAATAAGAAGCCATGGCAAATCAAATCCAGACGTAGTCCTAGTCCAAACTGTGTCAGGCTGTTCTGGATCTCCACAGGGAGACTTGGGTCACCAAGAATCTCAAATCTCAAATAAATCTGGATCACCAATGGTCTTTAAAAAAAAAATTGTGGAGGTGGAAATTGAACCCAGGGCCTCACACGTGCTAGGTAAGAACTCTTATCACTGAATTATACTCCCAACCATCAGTGACCTTTTTTCAGAAGAGTTAATGTCTGGATAGACAAAGAGTGTGATGGGGAAAATGCAGTGGTAAAAAACATGATAGTTGGTATAAAGAATAATTTGGTGATTTACCAAATGAAGCCAAACCTGTGGTGCTTTGCCTCTCTGCAGCCATTTTACTTCCAGTAGAGCTGTGTCTGCTAGTGCCACGATGCAGGGTGTGTGAGGGCTTTGTTGTTTTGACCATGGGCCCCACCTAATTGTTAGGCCTGCAAACAGTGCCAAAGAATAGTTTCTGACTAGATATTTGGTAGTACATGTGCCCCACGGGTTTTTTTACCAGTGTCATACAAAAGAGAATTCTTTGTTGTTGACGAATAATTTTTTAGACAATTCTCCACTTAGAAAGGAGGGGAAAAAAATCTCTTTTTTAAACTTTTGTATGCCAGAGAACAATTTTGCTCTTACTCTAATATTC